GCCATAATTTTGTTCTCCACCTTCATCTTATAAAGGCTTAATGGAGATATATAATGGTTTTAAATATTTAATGATTTTTAATTATACATCATATTCTGTGCACTGGATTGGATGACTGCAACAAAGACTCACTGTAAGAACTGGCAGAAAGAGGAGAATTGGTAGAAGAACATAAAATAACCTCTCAAGGAAACCAGCAACCCTCCCACACCAGCTGATCCACTCATATATCGTGGCTTAAATACTTCCAGCCAACTTGGGGGAGAGCCCACTTGAATCACCTCGCACCAGCAACAGCCACAGCTAAGTGGGTCTCTACAAGAAAGGGACAAAGGACCCAACAGAAAACACTGCAAGGTTAGCAGTGGCTGTCCAAGTCTTTACTCTCAGGACTTGGAGCCAGAGGCAATGAGATCACTGTGGGTTTAAGGGCAGCCTATGCTACAAAACAAGTTCAAAGCCTAAACTACATAGTGAGACTCTACCTCAAAAAGTGAAAAAGAAAAAAAGGAAAAAAAAAAAAAAAAAAAAACCGAAAGAAAGAAAAAACCCTAGGACATGTTCCAGACAGCTGCTGAGTAGACTCTGACCTCTCTATTATAAGAAGAAAACACAACTGGAGGAAAAACCTTGCATGTTACTTCAGCACTTACATTTTATATGGATTCTGAGAAAATTAACTTTGACTGCATTTTTAAAAGACAGCAGTTATTCCTCCACATGTCAGCTTGTTCCCTACCAGTTCATAATAAAGTATGGCAATAGATCGAATTTCTACCATACAAAGAATAGCTACTACATTATGCCAAAAGATAGAGCTTATCAACTTCTTAAATTTTTTTTTCAAATTTTTTATTCATTTTTTTATACAGGGTCTTGCTATACAGCTCAAACTCATAGTGATCCTCCTGTCTCAGCCTCTCCAGTGCTGGAATTACAGGAATGTGTCACCACGCCCATCTCAGTGGCCCCATCTCAGTGGCTCTGCACACTTATGGGGGTGGGGGGGGGGCGGCGGCAGCAGGGCTGGCACAGCAAGTGGTACTGGGGATTGAACCCAGGGTCCTTGAGCTTACCAGGCAAGTGCTTAGTCCACCGAGCTATCTCCCCAACCCTAAATTTATCAATTTTTGTGTGGATATATTTTCCTTTAATCATGAACAACAGCAATCAGAATTTATTTAGGGTAAACATGTGCTTTCGAAAAATTAAGAAAAATCTTTTAATACTTTACATTTTGTACTTCAAAGACAGTATCATAGAACCATAACACCTCTATGCTGTTGTCCAAAGCCCTGGACTGAGTCCATGTTTATCTCTCTATCTTACTATATTTTTACTCCATTATATTTTTCACTTTTCACTGGTGCTAAAGTAACTATATACTAATTACTAACATGAGTTAGTAAAACTTAAGTTAGCAAAACTTCTGATAGTATTTAAAAGTTCATTTGATTATTTATGAAGACATTTTAATCAGAATCAAAATTCTTCTAAAGTAGGAATTATAAAAATTATGGTTTCTACTTATTTTATAATGAATTTTTTTTGACAGGGTTTGACTATATATTTTAGGCTGTCTTGGTCTTGAATTCACTAAGTAGTTCAGGCTGGCCCTTAACACATAGCAATCCTCCTATCTCAGTCTCCCAAGTACTGGTATTATAGGTATATATCACCAATCTAATGTTTTATGAACTTAAGTATATTTTAATAAAGAAGAATCTGCAATTCATAATAACAAACTAAGGCAAGACAGTCACAAACTGAGATATTATATTTACTAACAGTCTTCATTAGGCAATTCATATATGCAAAGCTAATAAAAAAATTAATATTCAACATATTGAATGATATAAAAAATGAGTAAGAATTTGAAGAGTACTGTATGTGCAAGAAGGATAAGTAATAAGAAGCAAAGGCCACAAACATTTCCATGTTGAGGTGGGCAGGATGCTACTTACAGAATGCCTTCTGACATCTCGACCAGAAAACTATTTACTATAATCACTCGATAAGCTACAGTGGATTCACATTAAAGTCTGGTGCGCAGAAAGCAAAGGGCACCCATAAAGTAGTTAAGTGGCCCCCTGTAGTGTTTAGATGTTAATTTTCTAGCTTCTAATGTTTGTTTAAGACCCTTAGCATTTTTCTAATACTGCTGCTCCAAGGACAAACTTTCAGTTAGGTCTCCATTGTCCCTTCTGCACATATATATTCTGAATTTATGTATGAAAACCCAACTGACAAACAACTGAATTCAGAAATGTAATACTGGAAAGAAAAAAAGATAAGGGTAGCCATGAGGACAGCCCATAATATGAAGTATAAATATCAAAGTCTCCTCAAACAACAACAGAACTTCTTAATGCTAAGAGAATGTTGGTGAACATATGGCACACATGCTTCAGCCAGCTACTCAGCATCACTGAAAGTGCTAAAAGATTCACCATCACTTTGGTGAACTACTTAGTGAATATTAAGACTTCAGTTATCTAGGTCCAAATACAAAAAACCACATAATGGTGGAGCGAAGAGTGAGCTACAGGGTTAGCCTAAGATATGCTCTGTCACAGAGTTCTAAGACCTTCTGAACAGGTAGAGCCATTTCCTTACAGACAGACATCTTTAGATCATTAGTAAAATTGCACAAATGGCTTTGCCTGCTTTGCTTCACACTGTTTATATTGTTACATGAGCTGGAAATACATTAAGCATTTAGTTCCTCCTAATGAACACGTAAGAAATTGGGGCTGGGGCAATAGCTCAGCAGTCTAAACACCTGCCTGGCAAGCACAAGGACTCCAGTTCAATCTCGGGTACTGAATGTCAAGCTATCCCTGTAACCCCAGGCTCGCCATGCCAGCCCTGAAAACCGGTGTGGTGGCACAGGCCTGTAATCCCAGTGCTGGGAATGCTGAGAAAGGAGGATTACTACAAATCTGAACTGTGAAGCGAGACCCTGACATAAATAAATATTTTTAAAAAGAAAGTATAAAAAATTATATACAAAACAGAACTCACCTTGAATGCAAGGTAAACAGACACTAACTAATGTCAGTATTAGAAAACATCTATCAGCAATAACACAGGTGAGTGATAAAACCTGAGAGTTTAGTTTAACAATGCCCTTCATCTACCTTCATCACACAAATTATATGTTCAAGAATACGTCCTATGCAAAATACAGACATGTCACTTCTAGCCCAAGGGACACTTTTCCCTAGACTTATAGCCCATTGAAAAATAGAGGTTTCATCTACAGAACTTAACAGATCCACAGCTGCTTTCACCACTGTAACATATTCATAAGGCAAGGATTCACTGGCAAAATAAAACAAAGTAAACAGCATACAGGTGGGCCCAAATTCGTAACAGTGAGACACAGTCCAAGTCAAACATGAGACTAAAGTCAAAATTAAAAACAAAACACACATGAAACAAATAATAGGCCAGGGATATAGCTCAGCAGCATAAGCACCTGCCTGGCAAGCACAAGGTCCTGAGTTCAATTACTGGTACCACAAAAATACTAAATAAATAACATCATAATTCTACGAAGGAAAACATTCCAGGCAGTGTTTCAGCCACTACTAGAGACAACAATGAATGTGTGTGTGTGTGTGTGTGTGTGTGTGTGTGTGTTTTGCAGGACTAGCATTAATATTAAGAATGCAAAATCATTTGATTAAAAGGATATTATAGGTCGGGCATGGTGGTGCTCACCTATAATCTCAGCATTTTGGAAGCTAAGGGAGGAGGAGTACTGAGAGTTCAAGGCCAGCTTGAACTGCATAGTGAAATACTGTCTCAAAAAGACAAAAAAAAAAAGCATACTATGAGGGCCAGATTATATTTTAAGGAGTCACAGTAAGAACGAAAAATACCACACAAAAAGCATCACATACCATCGTAGTAGACAATTGCTCCCACCAGTCTGTCCTTCTGGAGCATAGGGAAATGTTCAAGGGCTCTCGATTTGCTAAGCACGTAACTGCTCTTCAGGCAATTACTTCCTGCAACCAGGTCATACAGCTTGATTCCAGCCCAGTAGTAAGGGAGCTGCCACCACCTACAATAGGGGGAAAGTTTCTTTAGAAAAGTAGTGTAACATTCTAGTGACACCTTAAATTACAAAAAACTTTTCACTATGGAAAACAAAGCTCACCCAGAAGTGGATCACAAAGGACCAAAAGCCCTGCATAAACTGTTCTTGATATCAGTCTGGGTGAAGTGCACAAGTAAATGAACCAGTGAAATTTTAAATCAATCTTCTCTAAGCCTCCCTTCCTGGTTGCATATTAGAATTTTGGGAGGAACACTGAAAATAAATACTGATGACTGGAGCTCATGTTTCCAGGAGTTGATTTATCCAGAGTAGGATGAGGGCCTAGGTTTTATAATGCACACCCAAGGCTGAGAATCACTGATTTAAGTGGTCCTGAGCAATCTGTGCCAAAGCAGACAAGTTATAAAATTTACTTCATCGCCACCATACTCAGGCGGCTAAGTGTTACAAAACCAACTTCACATTATTGTGCCTGTTTTACAACTTAAGGGACCCTCATAGGTAGCTGTAACATAGAAAACTAGGTTTATAATCTGACACCTAGTCAAATTTCAATTTAAGTTAACTTGGATACTGAAAATGATCCAAAATAGCTTGGGTTTTCAGTTGCTATGTTGCAGGTTCAAATTGTACAGCAGGATCCTGTTCAGGTTTCTATACTTCTAACTCTCATATTCCTCAGTACAAATGAAGTTGCTCATCTAGATACACTAAGAAATTACAGGGCTGGGGAGATAGCTCAGTGGCATTAGCACTTTCTTGGCAAGCACAAGGTCCCCAG